TCCACCCATCCAGAGAGGGCAAGCCACGTTTTTTCAGTCGAGAACCATGGCCTTGGATCTGGAGGAGCTGATGTTCATCCCAGGTACTTCACACTCTACTGCAAACCACCGCAGTACATGCTGTAGGTCCTGGTTCGATGAAGCCATCAGGACAACATCATCTGCAAACAGCAGAGATGAGATCCTGTTGTCCCCATACCGGACCCCCTCCGGCTCCTGACTGTGCCTAGAAATTCTGTCCATAAATACAATGAACAGAACCAGTGACAAAGGTCAGCCCTGGTGGAGTCCAACATGCACAGGAAACAGGTCTGTCTTACTGCCAGCAGTGTGAACACAGCTCACACTGCGGCCAGCAATGTGAGCTGGGGCCCTTTGCTAAGGGCTGTCCAGTCTGGACAGCCCTTAGCAAAGGGCCCCGGACCCCATACCTCCAGAGCACCCCCCACAGGACACCACAAGGAACATGGTCTTCTCCAGATCCACAAAGCACATGTGGACTGGCTAGGCAAACTCCCATGAACTCTCGAGCACTTGATGGAGAGTGTAGAGCTGGTCCAGTGTTCTGCGGCTGAGACAAAAACCACACTGCTCCTCCCGGATCCGAGGTTCGACTATTGACCGGATTCTCCTCTGCATTATCCTGGAATAGACCTTACCAGGGAGGCTGAGGAGTGTGATTCCCCTGTAGTTGGAACACACCCTCCAGTCCCCCTTCTTGAACAGAGGGATCACCATCCCGTTCTGCCAGTCCAGAGGTACTGCCTCTGACCACCACGCGATGTTGCAGAAACGTGTTAGCCAAGACAGTCCCACAACATCCAGAGACGCACTGTAAACAGTGTTGGTGAAGCACTGCTTCCCCTTCCTGAGGCACAGGACAGCTTGCCAGTATTTCTTTGAGGCCGACCGATAGTCCTCCTCCATGGCCTCTCCGAACTCCTCCCAGCCCTCAGTTTTTGCCTCTGTGACCGCACTGGCTGCAGCATGCTTGGCCTGCCAGTACCTGTCATCTGCCTCAGGCGTACCACGAGCCAACAAGGCCCAATAGGACTCCTTGAAAGTCACTAACACTTTCTTATTTAACCACAACCGTATTTCTTATAATGAGTGCTTAGCCTACATGTTTTTCTGTTTTGTCTTCTTCTCCATGCAGTCCCTTAACTTGGTTGTCCTGGGCATTGACAGGCTGTTGGCTATTGCTGATCCTCTACACTATCATGTCAGAGTTACCTTTAAATTCATGTTTTCTGTTATAGGTGTTTTCTGGATTGGTATTTGCACCATTGTGCTCATTAGCGTTGGTCTTCTCACTCGACTCTCATTTTGTGAGTATTGTTATAAAAAGCTACTACTGTGATCACGGTCCAATTTACCAACTTGCCTGCAATGACATGACCCCAAGCCGTGCAGTAGGAGGTCTTTCTCCTACACTAATTCTTTGGATACCTTTAGTGTTTATTTTAGTAAGTTTTTGTTATATTGCTTATGCCCTGTCAAGGATATCTGCTTCTCAAGAGCAAATCAAAGCTATAAAGACATGCTCAGGTCATCTTTCACTAGTCGCCATTTGCTACTTGCCAATAATCTTTGTTTATTGCTTTGGGTCAACAATTCCTCCAAACGCTAGAATTATAAACATCTCACTGACTTCTGTGGTGCCTCCAATGCTGAACCCAATCATTTATGTGTTGCTGACCAAAGAAATTAGGCAATCTGTGAGAATAGCACAAAAAAGTCAAAGAGTACCAACCATATTAAAGTAATTTTCATATGAGTTATACAGTGTTGGGAGTAACGGGTTATAAAAGTAACAAATTACTGTATTGCATTGCTTTTTGCTGTAACGCAGTAATGTAAGGCATTACAGGGAAAAAATAGTAATATTTTACTCAGTACAAATGTCAGTTATGCGCCTTAACCTGGATTGAACTGGTGGGTTTTTCTTCATACAAATTCGCTAAAATTACAGCGATATCAGCAGCAATCAAACGCCAGGCATGCGCCCGTGTAAACTGTCAGGTAACCGCGAGCGAGAGGACCGGTGCAGAGCTCTGCGCTCCACAGGGCTAACCGCAGCTTACGCCTGATCACGCTTTGCAGACATCCTGTTCCACGGACTCTGTGTACTCTCAGGGGCGGTCCTGGATTCCAAATTCTAGTCCAAGATTAGTCCTGGTTTGGTCCTGGTTTAGACCTGCTTCAGTCCTAGTTCAGCTCTGGTTTAGTCCTAGTTTAGTCCTGGTCTAGACCTGGTTTAGACCTAGTTTAGACCTAGTTTAGTCCTGGTTTAGTCCTCGGTTCAGTCCTGGTTTAGTCCTGGTTTAGCCCTGGTTTAATCCGGGTTCAGCTCTGGTTCAGTTTTGGCTTAGTCCTGGTTCAGTCCATATACGGTGCAAAAGTTCAGCATCTTCACACAGTTATTTTGGTGAGAGTAACTTAAAAGTAATGCAATAGTAATGTAATGCCTTACATTTTAAATACAGTAATATTGTAATGTAACAAATTAGAGTATAAGTAATAAATAACGCATTACAGTTTTAAAGTAACTTGCCCAACAGTAGACTTGTATAGTCCATAAATATATATTTGCATATATTTTATGCTAACTATATTACAGGGGTTGGCAACCTTAAATACTCAAAGAGCCATTTGGAGTGTTTTCCACAGAAACGAATTACACCTGGAGCCACAAAACCCTTTTGAGATCTAAAATGAGGATAACACTACATATAATTTTTTTTACCTGTATGCTCTGTATAAAAGTGCATTGCATTTATGAAATCAATGAAATGCTACAGAGAATATATGTCCATTCATATACACAGTCTATGTGTATGATCTGCAGACATATAATCACTGAAAAGTTTAACATGACCCATCTCCAATGCGACAGAAGCACAGCACAGATTCACCATCATCAGCAGATCCCTCTGTCACAGGGAGAACACTCATATTCCACTGAGTCGTGTCCTTTAGTCCGATAGAAACTGACAGAATGGAAAAAAAAAAAAAAAAAAAAAACATTTACAAAATACAAAGAACAGTAAAGAGCAAGGGATAAAGTCCTCACAGACTTGGTTTTCCCTGATCCACACTTTGCCATGATTTAAATGTGGCTATTCGTGTGTTTATTCTGGGGAAACTGATCCAAGGACAAAGGAGTCCCTTTGACCAAATGAAGTGTGTCTGTGTGGTATGGAAAGACAACAAAATTTGGTCTTGGCATTTTTTTTCTGGACCAGCCCACTCCGCTCAATTCGCAATTGAGGACCAAATGAGATTATGCACTTGTCATTGTGCTGTTTGGTGACAAGATGGATACAACACTGACCAGTGAAAGAGAAGAAGAGAACTGTGTCAGGAGACTAGAAAGAAAATTATAGACAAGCAGGTTAAAGATAAAGGCCACAAGACCATCTCCAAACAGCTTGATGGTCCTGTGATTACAGTTGCACATGTTCTTCAGAAGTTTAAGGTCCACAGGACTCAAGGCCACATCCAGGGAGGTTGGCTAAAGAGGAAAATTTATGACAAATTGAAGAGATGGATCGTACGAATGGTACCAAAGAGCCCAGAACAACCTCCAGACAAATTAAATGTGAACTCGAAGGGCAAGGTACATCAGTGTCAGATTGCACCATCTGTCACTGTTTATGCCAAAGTGGACTTCATGCGAAGACAACACTGTTGAGAGCAAATCATAATTTACCACAATGCATATTAATAACCCATAAAGCTTCTGGGAGAAGATGAGATGAGATAGAGAGATGAGAAAAGCCTCCTCCATGTTTCACAGTAGGGACAGTGTTGTCCCTACTGTAAAATATGGAGTCTGTGAGCCCAGATCTCAATCCTATTGAACATCTGTGAAATGAGCTGAACCATGCTGTCTGGAGAAGGCACCTTTCAAACCTGAGACAACTAGAGCAGTTTGCTCACGTGAAATGGGTCAAAATACCTGTTGACCAGTGCAGAAGTCTCATTGACAGTTACAGAAATGATTTGATTGCAGAGTTTTCCTCAAAAGGTTGTGCAACAAAATATTAAGTTAAGGATACCATCATTTTTGTCCAGGCCAGTTTCATTATTTAGTTTTTTTCTTATGATTCTGTTGAACCACAGGTGAAAAACAATGTTTGATTTTCCTTGGAAAATTTTCAGTAAATTTTTATTTATGATTGCTTTTATCAGTTTCAAGTTATTTCAGTGATGATTGTTGATTTTTCTTTCATTGCCAGTAGGATACCAACAATTTTGTCCAGGTCTGTAGATCAAATGTGAAAGTTTAAAAGCAAGTGTTTACCTCTAATATACTTTTTAGACTGTGTAAGACTTGAGAAAATAAGTGGCAAACTGTATGTAATAATATAGTAATAAAGTTGTAATGAAGTTATAATAACATTGTAATTACTATAATGTAATAGACTAGTATTGGAAGATTGCTAGCATTTGCGCTAGGAGGCTGAGGACCAGTAATAAATAATCAATGAAGTAATAGCTGTAAATGCAGGTGCCTTTATTTATTTATTTATTTGGAAAGTGATAACAACTTGTCTGTTCATGACTGTTGTGATGAAATCATGTTTATGGAGAGGTGATCTTATAAGCCCGATAAGATCTTCTCATTCTCTCCTGCACAGTCATTTGTGTTTCTATCTGTTCAAAATGTTGTTTTTAATGTATGTACAAATAAAATCTATCTATCTATACGGTGGAACATCCCAGGCAAAGCAATAACACCACCATAGAGACAAGCAGATGGCGAAACCTCCACCAGAAAAGTTACACAGTGTACCTTTAAAAACAAACTTTGATCAAATTACATAATTCTGATTATTATCTAAATACCCTAAAAATAATAATCTTTCATATTTTTTCTTCTGTATTAACTTCCTTTAACCTTACCTCGTTGGATTCGTCTGGCCCCCAGAGAACTGCCACTGGTTACAAATAAAAAGGCCAAATGACAGCTGGGACAGAAGCTCAGGACACTTCAGATGGATTTGTTTAACTCCGCTCTTGGAAAAAACATTACATTTGTGCGACCTGATTATTTCATCATTTCTGGTTTAACTGGAATTCCACATGTAAATTATTACTATGCTTTTCTTTTCGCTATTTATGTTGTGTCTGTTGTGGGCAATGTCTGTGTGATGGTAGTAATCATTTTGGATCATCGTCTAAGAACTCCCAAGTATGTTGCAGTGTTTAGTTTAGCCATAAATGATCTGTGTGGCAATTGTGCTTTGGTGCCGAAAATCCTTGATACTTTCTTATTTAATCACAACCGTATTTCCTATAATGAGTGCTTAGCCTACATGTTTTTCTGTTTTGTCTTCCTTGCCATGCAGTCCCTTAACTTGGTGGCCATGAGCATTGACAGACTGATAGCTATTGCTGATCCTCTACACTATCATGTCAGAGTTACCTTTAAATTCATGTTTTCTCTCGTTGCATCATTTTGGCTGTATATAGTGTTAATGGTTATGGTAGCAACCGGGCTTCTCACTCGACTCTCATTTTGTGAATCAATTGTTATAAAAAGCTATTTCTGTGATCATGGTCCAATTTACCGAATTGCCTGCAATGATGTGCTTCCCAGCCGTGTAATGGGAGGTCTGTGTCCAGTTCTAAGTCTTTGGATTCCCTTAATTTTTATCTTAGCAAGTTATGGCTATATTTCTTACACTCTGTCCAAAATGTCTGTAGCACAAGAGCGAATCAAAGCTATGAAGACGTGCTCAGGTCATCTTTCACTGGTGGCTATTAACTACATTCCAATCATATTTATTTATCTTTTTGCTACAAATATTCATCCGAATGTTAGGATTATAACAGTTTCATTAACCACCATTTTACCTGCTATGTTAAACCCAGTCGTCTATGTTTTACAAACAAATGAGATCAGACATTCACTAAAAATGATCTTCAAAGTACAAAAGGTAACAGTGAAATGAATGCTGAATGTGAACGTTGTTTTAATTAATAATTTTATGCTTGCTGTTTTAAAATGAGTCACTGAGACGCTGAGTTACTGTATGTATTTTTCTTAAATAAATGTACTACTGTACTGTATGAGGTGGGTGAGGTAAACTGCCAACCTTAGGCTTGAAGGTGCACTGAACCAATGCTGACTCAACAAAATAAATCATGTTATTTTCAATGTATCACCATGATCAGGTTTAACAAGTTTTTTCTTTGGTTGCTGCACCAATGTGTCAGTCTGTCCTGCTACCCTCACAAGCACCAGATCAACACAGGATATAGCCTTGTTATCCATGGGTTCACTTTGCCCCTGGACCTGGAGCCATGTCTGGAGCATGGAAAAGCAATTCGGCAGAAGGGAGCTGCAAAAAATAGACCCGCACCAAGGCAACCCTGCGTGAATGGTGCCATTGGAAAAAAAAGACTCATGTTAACCCCAAATTCATTTCTAGGTAATCTGCACTGTTGGAGTTGGAGCACCAAGTGTTGCTTTGGTTTTGGTTCTGTTTGTTGCTATTTTATTGTTTTCTGTGTGTTAATTTGTAGATTAAGAACTCATTTTGAAACTAAACCCAATAGAAGAAAAGAGAAGCAATAATCATAAAATAAATTATACATACCATGTACTGTTTCTGTTGAGCCAATGAACAGACCTGTTTATTACCGGTGGTCTGGTTGGTATTTCTATTTATTAAAATGCTCTGTTCAGTAACCTTGGATAATGCTTGCTACTGCTATAAACACTCAGATGTTTTTGCCTGTCTGTCACCCTGATGCTTTGAATTCATGCTGTAACATTATTAAAGGTACTGTACACCCAAATGGTCGGATGATCAACTCTACATTGACACACAGTATACCATCTTTACTTAACCCGATTATCTACTGTCTAAAGACAGAGGAGGTGCTCACAGTCATCAAATGTCTCTACAAAAGATTTACATCAAATCAGAAAAGAATACAAATGTGACAAAAACTGAAACTATATCTTTAATAACACAAATCACCACCCTGCTAAACCGACTTGGGATGAGGAGTTGAAGCTATGGCACAAGCCTCACTCACACAGGCTGCTTAAGAAGCCTCAGTATTGCTCTGGTAAAATGTTTGAACAAACAGCACGGAGCATAATAAAATACAAAGTAACTTGCATTACAGAGACTATAACTAGGAGTTTATAGCTGATTTTCACATATAACTGAGTTAGTTGATGCGTTACTCCCAACAGTGTTGTCAGGGAATTTACCCTAAGACATCAAATTACATTAAATAAAGACACACCAAAACGAGACAGTTATAGTAATACTTGCGCAAGGAGAAAAGAGCTGTCAGAGCCTGTCAATACCACTGGCTGAGCCTACTCTACTCTGCCAGCTCTCCTCCCAACAGCAGTTTTTATTGCAGTCATTTCACAGATAACAATACAGTACATTATGTTATATCACACAACGTTTACAATGATCACATGCTAACAATCTTTAGGCTAAACCACCCTCCCATTTCACACTTGATTACAGGCTCCAGGTGATAAACAATCAGGTCAGTTTTCTCCCAAAACTTATGCTAACCACATGAGGGGAAAAAACCCTTAGCTGTCTTCTCATGGGTGACTCAGTAGATTAGCTTAAAGAGTCAGAAGTTCTTGAACTAGGACATATGACATACATATGGAAAAACCCCAAAACGCAATTGTTGATAACTTTAATCACACACACAAAAGATTATGAATTTAAATGAACACACAAATGCTTATGATTTTAAATGATTCATAATATTTAAAATAACACATAAATTCTTTCACATTTCCCTCCTGTTTATCAATAATGCTTTACCTCAGAGTACTATAACTTCTAAGCAGATTTTCTATAGTCTCGTCATTTCGCATATTTCTAAACAGAATTTTCTTCGGGATTGTTGTCCAAATGAAACCAGCTAACATTGCTTCACATTCTTCGGCTACATGAATTTCAATTTTCTCAAACATCCTGTCAAAAACTCTTAATAGGAGCAAGCGTATGCATGGAATACAACAACACCCACATAGCACAAAAATGCTTATACAAATAAACAATGATGTGCAAATGGATAACACGATGTTTTTCCAAGAACCAAAGGTGGAGTTAAACCATTCTTCTATAATATTGATTGCTCGTGCATGGTGTTGGCGAACATTTGCAGACCCTGTAGGGTTCTGGTAACTGATCCGTCTGGTGCCGTGTTATTTGGGATAAACAAACAACACTGGTTTTTGAAGAATGCGCAGACCCCTCCCCTCTCTGCGAGGACCATGTCTAACGCTAATCTATTTTGATAAGCTACCGCGGAGGTGGCGTGCAGCTGCTCAGCTAAAGCTTTTCCTAAAGCTAAAGTGTAGTTGGTCAGTCTCAATATCTTGTAGTGGTGATAATTTAGTCTGTCTACGTTTTTGTGGGGAGTAACCGGAATTATAGCGGAGATAATTGGAAGACCCTCAAAGCCTGCGGCTATTTGGTCTACTAACTTATACTCATTTGGCACCCTTCTAGGTACGCCTATAGCATCGATATAGGTCGGGTCAGGTCCCATAACGGGATAGTCCACATCTCTTTTTGTCCTAGAGGAAGTCTGGCTTGCCACAATAATAATTGCCGGAGACACGAGAACTGCCCTGGCACAGCGCCCTGTCCAGTGCAGTGGCAGGTGTCCCCTGAGAGTCTTTCCCCCACAGTACCACCACAAGTCCCTTCGCTGGTGAGTCAGGTCAATCCCATCTACCGTCCGAGTCCATGCACAAAGAGATTGAGAAAGCTGACCTACCGAGAGATAGGCCCGCCTTCCCCCTCCTGTGACTCGTTCTATACATGAAAAGTTGCCTGCAGTCGGGGGACTAAATATGGGCGGCTGCGTATTACTTGCCAATACGGGGTAAGTTGTATAGTCTATTTCACATATTTTGCCCCTGTCGTTACCACTCATTATAATTGTCTCACATGTGTCATTATAATATGTTGCAGGCACAACTAATATTGTGGGTCTGGCTTTCATACATACCAAGCAGTTAGTTACAGTGTTTTGTGCTGCTTGTTGTGCTAATTGAACCCACGTGTTGACAGTAGTATCTACTCCGGTAGCCAGGCAGAAAAAGGTATCTACGTTTATTTTCTCAGGCTGCACAGATTCTACTCTTTTTCTCAATGCCACTTCATTTACATAAGCATAGTCATCTGGGAGCAGGGTCATACCTCCTTGTTTACACACCATTATCTATGCAAACGGATCTAAGGTAGGCCCAGGATAATAAGCATGAATGCGTATCACGTGACATTCAGCCCTATTCTCCTGCCCCCTAAAGTCTAAGGTTACAGTGAGGTGGGTGCGTGTCTTAGTTAGTGTCAGTATGCGTGCCCATCGTTTAGCTGTGTTTGTTGTTGGGCTTGGTACCCAGTCTACCCCAGTGTAGGCTGCCACATTACCCCATGAATTGTCTTCTACTCCCATTATAGCATAATAGTCACAGTCAGTGTGGCCCCCTACAGCTTGCTCCAGTGTTACTTCTCCATATGTAGGTGCATTATATGGCAGGGTGAATGTTCGTGTGGAGTTAGCAGGTACACATAGCTGTACTAATCTCTCATGACCCATTTCTTTATTGCACAATGACTCTGTAGACAATATACTTCTTATGACTTTACTTATCTCCATGAAGGATATAATTTCCGACGGCTGCTGCTCCGCAGGCTGGAGTTCGAGGCTTCCCCTGGACCCCAGGCTGACGATGATGAATGTCCACCATGCGACCAGGTGGCTTGCCATGTTGCAGTGCCCAGAGAGCAGAGGTTACCAGCACGTACTCCCTGTAAAAACACTGTTCTGCACATGAAGTCCTGCGTCTCTCTTACTCGTCGAGCTCCCGGGACTTGCAGTGACTCAGATGGATCCACCCGTTCCTCCCCTCGACCTTAACAGTGGTGGGAGTGGTCAGCAACACGCGGTGTGGTCCCTCATATCGGTCACTGGCCCAGTGCTTCCGTTTGATCACCTTGATGAACACCCAGTCTCCCACGTGGACAGGGCGATGCTGCTGTGAAGAAAGTGGAAGATCCAGCAGATTATTGTTTTCTGAGCAGTCTCGAGCCATTGTCTCCTTCATGTACTGGGCTAGGTCAGGCACAGAGTCAGGTGCATCTCTTGTGTTAATGTCCAGGTCAGGTATTCGGTATGGCCGTCCATACAAAATCTCAAAAGGTGTCAATGTTCTTCCTTCAGCTGGTACAATGTGCATATTCAGCTTTACTAGGTCAATACATTGAGTCCATGTCCTTCCTGTTTCTGCCATAGCCTTGCTCAATTTATTTTTAATAGTTCCATTTGTTCTTTCAACTAGTCCGGCTGATTGGGGGTTGTAGGTACAATGTCTCTTTAAATCTATTTTAAAGTGTTCTCCCAATCTGTCTATCACTTGATTCACGAAATGCGGCACATTATCACTTCTCATGGTTTCTGGTATGCCAAAAGTAGGAATAATATGTTTACATAGGGCTTTCGCTACTGTGAGTAAATCGGATGTTGCTGTAGGAAACATTTCAACCCATCTAGAGAATACATCTATGATTACCAAACAGTATTCCATGCCTTGTACTTTATTCAATTGGATATAATCCATGTGTATGGCCTGAAATGGGTACCTGGGTGCGGGAAATTGCCCTCTTTTTGGCCTCAATTGGCCCTGTGCGTTCTTTTTCACACAGATTAAACACTGTCTACAAAAATTTTTGAGTAGGTATTGAATCCTATTGTATTGAAATATTGTTCTACCAGTGCCACCATCCCTCCTGTTGAGACATGACACACTCCATGACTCATTAACGCCCCCCAACGGAACACTGATTTTGGCAAAAACGGCTTCCCATTTTGTCCCACATATATCTGATCTTTCAGGACGGCTCCCCTTTTCACCCAAGTAGCCTTTTCAGATGCATGCGCTTGCTCTTGCATTATTTGCAAAATATCTTTTGTAGCCTGTTTCTTGAGGGTATATTCCACACGCTTTCTCTTTTGCTTTCATATCTGCAAATCTGTTCCCGTTTGATAGTTGTGAGCAACTTCCTTTCCTGTGGTTGTTTTAAACCCTCTTTGCTGCCACTGCCACTACTGCACTGAAAGCATATTGACTGTCTGTGTAAATTGTGACAGGCTGGCCTTTAAACAATTTACACGCTTCCGTTAAGGCTATTAGTTCTGCTGCCTGTGCTGACAAATTTGAAGGTAGTTTTTCAGATTTTAACAACTCCTTGTCTGTAGTAATAGCGTAAGCTACCAAATTTTTCCCCAACTCGTTCTTTCTAGCTGACCCATCTACAAATATTATGTTTCCTTCAGTGAGAGGAATTTCCTGCATATCTGGTCTGGGTTTGTAGATAGTCTCAGATGTGATTACACAATCATGCAGTTCGCACACATAAATTCTTTCACAAGTGTAAGGAGTAGAAAAAAGACAGCTAACAGTGCTCTGTGGTGTTTGACATTCAGTGAGTAGAAAACCTAATATTTACAATGTCTCAGTAAAAAAATAAAATAAAAAAAATTAATGGTCCAAAACCCAATATAATTACATGTTAATAATCAAGATCATAAATGTGCAAAAGCAAAAATATCTGGAGGGCACAGATCAAACGTGAAAGTTCAAAGGCATGTGGAGCTTTTACCTTTAAATATGCTTATTAGACTGTATAAGACCTACGCAATAAAGTGGCAAACTGTATGTAATAATATAGTAATAAGGTTGTAAAAAAAAAGCTATAATAACTAGTGCTGTCATGCGATTAAAAAAATTTAGAGATTAATTAATTATGATCTGTAATTAATTAATCTAATTAATCTCATTTTAATCTCACCTAAAAATTGCTGAGAAAAGCCTTCAATTTGAGGTATTTTCATTTAAATTCATTATTACATTATTGTGGCAGATCAAAAGACTAATATAGATTTAAAAAAAGTGACTTTATAAAGTCATTTATTGTTTAACAAATCTCTCCAATTTGGCTGTTGAGCCCAAGTCTCCATGAATAAGAAACTCTTTGTTGTAAAGTAGCAAAGATGAGGAAATCTGAACATAATAACTTTTGTCTACTTAAAGACAATAAAAAGTCCAGTCTTTCCTTAACCATATTAAAAATATTATTGATAGAGAAATATATATGAGATCACTGGTTTTAGTCCTGGTTTAGACCTACTTTAGTCCTAGTTTAGTCCTGGAATGGATTAATCCTGGTTTTAGTCCTGGTGTTAGTTCTGGTTTAGTCCTGGTTTAGACCTGGTTTAGTCCTGGTGTTAGTCCTGGTGTTAGTCCTGGTTTAGTCCTGGTTTAGACCTGGTTTAGACCTGGTTTAGATCTGGTTTAGTCCTGGTTTAGTCCTGGTTTAGACCTGGTTTTAGTTCTGGTTTTAGTTCTGGTTTAGTCCTGGTTTAGACCTGGTTTAGACCTGGTTTAGACCTGGTTTTAGTTCTGGTTTTAGTTCTGGTTTAGTCCTGGTTTAGTCCTGGTTTAGTCCTGGTTTTAGTCTTGGTGTTAGTTCTGGTTTAGAGGCGCACAGGAGGAAGCGCGGTTTACGCCGCGTACACGAGAAAACACACGCGGCTCATGGGAGGACAGCGATGTCCGCGCAGTGTCTACGGAAGGAAACGTGGTCCGCGCGTTCTCAGGTTAAAGACGATGATGAAGGTGTGTGTTTGTTTGTGTGTGTGTTTGTGTGTGTTTGTGTGCGTGTCCCCTCATGTGGCAGGTCACTATAGGACAGTAGTGCAGACATCATGAGTCTATGCAGGTTGTTTTCAGGCGATATTATATTTGTTATTTTCTTTTATATTTCACGTCGGGAGAATAATTTCCAAGACACGAATGTGTTTTTACCTGTGCGCTGCTGACTCTGTTCTACTGGCTCTTCGACCTCGTCCATTGTGCGACTGATGCCGCCAACGTTAACATGACGTTTACATCGCTGTTACTGCGCGCGTTTTGTGTGGGTTTCCGGCAATGAGTGGAATTACCGAAATAAAAAAATTTATAAATGTGTTTTTTTTGTGTGTGTGTGTGTGTTGTTGTCCCAACAACACATAAAAACAGGTTTTATAATAAAGAAACTCACATACAGAAACACTAAAGTTAGAGATTAAAAATGAGATTAACGCGATTAAAAAACATAACGCGCTAAATATGACTGTAATTAATTAATCGCAATTAACGCGATAATTTGACACCCCTAATAATAACATTATAATTACTATAATGTAATAGACTAGTATTGGAAGATTGCTAGCATTTGTGCTAGGAGGCTGAGGACCAGTAATAAATAATCAGTGAAGTAATAGCTGTAAATGCAGGTGCCTTGTATTTTTTTTTAGTTAAGTGCAAAAGTGATATTTTGCATATTTACATACACTGCTGAAAAAAGCAACACTTTTAAAACATATATATATATATATATATATATATATATATATATATATATATATATATATATATATATATATATATATATATATATATTTTTTTTTTTTTTTTTTTTTTTTTTATATATATTCCAGACATGCCACTGCAAGATTTAATGTGTCCCCAAACACAATCTCCAGAACATGGAGAAAATTCCTCAGCCCATCAGCAGGACCCATATCTGCTCCTTGGTGCAAAGAGGAACAGGTTGAGCACTGCCCATGCCCTACAAAATGACCTCCAGCAGGCCATTGGTGTGAATGTCTGCCCAGACAATCAGAAAAGCCTTCATGAAGGTATCTTGAGAGTGGGATGTCCTGTACTGGGCCCTGTGATCAACTATATGTATCATTTTTTATCATATCATTGTCATAAATGTACGGTGCCTGTCAAGCCAATGAACAGACCTGTTTATTTTCACTTGGTGGTCTGGTTGGTATTTGTATTTATTAAATGTAACATTTTATTTACTCACCTGTTGCATTGCCACACACATAAATCATCAATGCTGATAGAACAAAATATTGCCCAGCTCTAGGAACAGGCCAGCTACTCCTGTGAACAATAATCTCATTGTATTCATTTCATACATAATGCTTGCTACAGTTAAAGTGCAAAATGTTCTGTTCAGTAACCTTGGATAATGCTTGATACTCAGATTTATTACACCAACTCTGAGAAACTCCAGAAGATTTCCAGGATCCGTTAAAAATAACATTTATAAATGGACAAATCTAAAGCTTTGGTTAGACTCTCAGACCCTCAGACTCTCAGAAACTCTGTGCTAGATTCTTATAAACAGTCAGATGTTTTTGCCTGTCTGTCACCCTGATGCTTTGAATTCATGCTCTAACATTATTAAAGGTACTGTACAACGATCTCCGTGCCTCTGTGCCTGTTTTTTCTTTTTGCAAAGATACAACAGAAATCAACACTGCCCTGCCTGTGTAATCATTTGATTACAGTTGTATCAGTTGTAGAAAGAACAGGAGAGCAGCATCCCCTTAATTACATATTCATTGCAGAGGTAGGTGATTATTCAGGGAATGTATAAAAGTCACTGCCTCAGGGTACACTTCATTTTGCTTCATCTTCATGTTTGACCACCTTTTTGTCTATGCATTATCGGAAATGGAAAAGATACAAAGATCTTTAATAAACTCAACTTTAGTTCGTCCAGAGCAGTTTTATATTAATGGATTTTATGACTTTCCACATGGAACATATTTCTACATTTTCCTCTGTTTTGTTTATATAATGACTGTCATTGGAAATGTGGTTCTTCTTCTGATTATTTTGCTGGTCAGAACTCTCCATACGCCCAAACACATGATTGTGTTTAACCTGGCTGTGACAGACCTGTGCGGCAGCACTGCTCTCATTCCCAAACTCTTGGACACCTTTCTGTTTGAAAACAGATACATCTCCTATGAGGCGTGTCTTAGTTACATGTTTTTTGTGTTGTTTTTTGGCAGTGTTCAGTCCTGGACACTTGTGACAATGTCTTTTGACAGATTTATGGCTATATGTTTCCCTTTGCACTACTACAGTGTTGTGACTAAATCAACTGTTGCACTAATGTTGCTGTTTGTTTGGCTTCTACCTCTAAGTGTAATAAGCAGCATGGCTGGCCTTATCAATCGTCTCTCCTTTTGTAAGTCTCTTGTTATTCAGAGTTTTTACTGTGATCATGGGCCTGTGTATAGACTTGCTTGTAACAGTTATTTACTGAACCACTACTATGGTACCTTTGCTTCATCTATCATCTTGTTCTTTCCCTGCCTTCTCATAATCCTCACTTATTTTTTCATTGGCCTTGCACTCAAGAGAATTGCAAGAGGAAAAGAACGCCTCAAAGCTTTTAAAACCTGCATCTCTCATTTTATACTTGTGTCCATATTTTTTATACCAATTATTATCACAAATGTAGTGGTTCATGCTACTGACTACTTACACCCAAACGGTCGGATGATCAACTCTACATTCACACACACTATACCACCTTTACTTAACCCGATTATCTACAGTCTAAAGACAGAGGAGGTGCTCACAGTCATCAAAGGTCTCTACAAAAGATTTACATCAAATCAGAAAAGAATACAAATGTGATAAAAACTGAAACTATATCTTTAATAAACATAAATCACCACCCTGCTCACAGACACCAGAAGAAAACATTCAAAACTCTTTAAACCAACAGTATAGATCAGGGGTACACAAACTATGGCGCAGGCGCCAAATTTCTGTTGGCCCTTAGGCCCCCTGTACTGAATTGGCCCAACTGATCATAGGCAGAAAGATTTATTACAAACTTAAATTATTCTGCCACCTTGATAACATCACATTGCATCTTGATACAGAAGTAAAATGACTGTTCCAAGTCTTATACAGGTACAGGGGCTCTGTGTAAGCTGTGTAAAATGGACAAATATGAATGACTCACTGTATCGACACTGATCTGTACACTCAACTTAATGAAATTGCTTATAATCAGCAAGCTTTCATCACTGAGATGAGTCAAGTCAGGACCATGTTGGCTAAGCTCACCACTGCTTTCGCCCAGTTCGCTGCTGCTCAGTCACGACCTCCCACATGATCATCGGTACTGTGAGTCACATATTCCTGATCCTGCACATTATTCTGGTTATATGGGGAAATGTGGGGCTTTGTTTCGTCAGTTTTCATTGCTCTTCATCCACAAACCTGACACCTACACTACACATAGCTCCAAAATAGCATTTATTATTGCAAGGTTAGTACAATCACAAGTTTATATTGGGCAACAGACACTCGACCAAAGGTTCGTCACAATTATGAACTTTATTGGTGAGTTGAGAGGTTCTTGCTCATCCTCCATCCATCCATCCATGTGCTCCTCACCCTATCGCTAAGGAAGCGTCCAACCACCTTGCGGAGGAAACTCATTTCAACTGCTTGTATCCACAATCTTGTCCTTTCGGTCATTACCTAAAGCTCATGACCATAGGTGAGGGTAGGAATTCACCACAACGAATCGATACAGTGAGTGCATCACTGCTGGCGCTGCACCAATCTGCCTCTCAATCTCACGCTTCATCCTCCCCTCACTCGTGAACAACACCCCGAGATACTTGAACTCCTCCACTTGAGGCAGGGACTCTCCACCCACCTGGAGAAGGCAAGCCACGTTTTTTTGGTCGAGAACCATGTCCTCAGATCTGGAGGAGCTGATGTTCATCCTAGGTACTTCACACTCTGCTGCAAACCACCCCAGTACATGTTGTAGTTCCTGGTTTGATGAAGCCATCAGGACAACATCATCTGAGATGAGATCCTGTTGTCCCCAAACCGGACCCCCTCCGGCTCCTGACTGTGCCTAGAAATTCTGTCCCTAAATACAGTAAACAGAACCAGTGACAAAGGTCAGCCCTGGTGGAGTCCAACATGGAACAGGTCTGACTTACTGCCAGCAATGTGAACACAGCTCCTGCTTTGGTCATACTGGGACCGGACAGCCCTTAGCAAAGGGCCCCGAACCCCATACTCCCAGAGCACCCCCCACAGGACACCACAAGCAACATGGTCCAATGTCTTCTCCAGATTCACAAAGCACATGTGGACTGGCTAGGCAAACTCCCATGAATTTTTATCGACAAACCGAATGTAGGTTGCTGTGCGTAGCGTGACCAAACAGGGGTCCATAAATGTAGCTCTCTGTACTTAGAAGGAGCGAGCAAACAGAAACATTCGGTCAGCCTGCAACGTACCGAAGCACAAATGTATATTTAACGATGAATTGTACAAGAAATTCCACGCTTTCCGTTGCATTCGGGACAAGTGTGAGGCCATGTGCACAGTGTACAAAGCAGCACATATGTTTAGGTGTCCAGTGGGAAAAAGCTTTGCCAGGTGAGAGTCGCGCAATGTCGATAACGAGTCCCCACCTCCCACCCCCCGTACGGTGTCCTGGTTTTGACAAACACAAATATGGTCACACTAACCTGTATTCCACTGAGTCATGTCTTTTAATCCAACACATAATGACCGCATCAGCACACAAGAGCTGTAGTTTTATCTTCGCTTAGTTTATGCAAATTAGCGATGCGGTTTTAAGTTTTGTTTCTGTGAGAGTTGCGCAAAACTGAATTAAACACATTATAATGTCAAACGGATTGATGTGGCTCTAGAGTCGTTACGGTTTATATGTCGTAAAGTTGAATTTATTTATGCAGATTAGTAGTGCAGATAGTAATAATAATGATGATCATTTTAATATAAAAACTAGGTTAACGCGTTAACTTTGCGTTAACTAATTAAGTCATTAACGCCGACAATTATTTTAAGGTTAACGCAGTTTTTATTATTTATTTATTTATTTTATTGTAAACGTCTGTTTCTCACTGGCTTTTATTTAGAAAAAGTCCACCGCGAGCGTTTCTTTAAGTTTGACGTCTTTTCTTTACACTTTTTTCACTTTTTTCTGACCACGTGAGATGCAACGTGCCCGAGCCGCGGGTTCGGCGGGCTCTGGTCGCGGGCTCCGGCTCTGGCCGCGAACTCAGCCACGGGTTCAGCCACGGGCACCAGCTCTGAGCTGAGCTTATTTCTTTAGTTCAGTGCTGGAGTAACTGATTTACCCAGATACCATTGGAAAAAAAATGTGATTGGTCCATTTCCATTCCATTATATTAACCTTTTGTTTCCCAAGAAATATCAGTCCAAGTTTATAACACTGATCTAGAAATTATTACTAGTGTAGTGTTCATTACTCACAGCATAAAAATATTCAATAAATATATTAGTAGTACAAACGTCCATTCAATATTTTTTCTTGAGCCTTCCCTGAACACCTTGAAGGCTCTGAGGGTTTCCCTGTGAAAGAAATGCTGTTTGCACAACAAATGTATGGCTCTTTCATTTACATTTCCAATAAAAGAGCGCTATACTCTACTTTTTATTCATTAATTGGTTTTGCGTATAACATGCGATTAATCGCTCGAACTCATGCGATTAATCGTGATTTAAAAAAATGTATTTTTCCCCAGCCCTAATAAAAACGTTAATGATTAATCGATAATTGATCGTTAATTCTTCCGACGATCGATTAAGAAAATTTCATCAAATGCCCATCGCTAGTTGGAACACACCCTCCGGTCCCCCTTCTTGAACAGAGGGATCACCATCCCGTTCTGCCAGTCCAGAGGTACTGCCTCTGACCACCACGCGATGTTGCAGAGACGTGGCAGCCAAGACAGTCCCACAACATCCAGAGACGCACTGTAAACAGTGTTGGTGAAGCACTGCTTCCCCCTCCTGAGGCGCAGGACACTTTCCCAGTATTTCTTTGAGGCTGACCAATAGTCCTCCTCCATGGCCTCTCCGAACTCCTCCCAGCCCTCAGTTTTTGCCTCTGTGACCGCACAGGCTGCAGCATGCTTGGCCTGTCTTTATCCATCAGCTGCCTCAGGCGTACCACGAGCCAACAAGGCCCAAAAGGACTCCTTCTTCAGCTTGACGGCATCCCTTACTTCCAACGTCCACCACCGGGTTCAGGGATTGCCACCGTGACAGGCACCAGAGACCTTGCGACCACAGCTACAAGCGGCTGCATTGTAAATGGAGGTGGAGAACATGGTCTACTCGGACTCCATATCCCCAGTCTCCCCTGGGATCTGGGAGAAGCTCTCCTGGAGGTGCGAGTTGAAAGTCCTGCTGACAGAGGGCTCCACCAGACATTCCCAATAAACCCGCACGATACACTTGGCCAGGTCTTTCCGGTTTCCTCCTCTGCCATCAGATCCAACTCACAACAAGGGGTTGATCAGTTGACAGCTCTGCCCCTCTCTTCATTCGAGTGTCCAAGACACACGGTCGGAAGTCAGATGACACGACAGCCTAAGGTGTCCTGGTGCCATGTGCACTGAAGTCCAAAAACATAACACCACTCAGGTTCAGATCAATGAGGCTGTTACTTCCGATCACCCCTATCCAGGTGTCACTTGTGTTGAAGTCCCCCAGTAGAACAATGTAGTCCCTGGTTGGTGCATTGTCTAGTACCCCTCCCAGGGACTCCAAGAAGGCCGGGTACTCTGCACTGCTGTTCGGCCCGCAGGCCGACACAACAGTGAGAGACCTGTCCCCAGCCCCAAGGTGCAGGGACGCAACTCTCTCATTAACTGGGGTAAACTCCAACAAGCGGTGGCTGAGCTGTGGGGTTATGAGCAGGCCCACATTAGCTCCCCGCTGCAACACCAGAAAAATGGAGGGTCCAACCCCTCTTGAGAAGTTGGGTACCAGAACCCAAGCTGTGTGTGGAAGTGAGCCTGACTATATCTAGATGTTACCTCTCAACCTCCTGCACAAGCTCAGACTCCTTTCACCCCAGAGAGGTGACGTTCCACATCGCTACAGCCAGGTTCTGTGCCCTGTGCCCACTGCCCTAACAGAATAACTTCCATTTAAAACCAGAAAGCCTTGAGGTAATCTTTGTAGTTTCGAGTTAAATAAAGTTTTGTGATATCAGAACGGAATATGATTAATGTATTTTTGCTCACTAAAGACCTTTTCAAATCAGTTGAGTGTCCAATATGAATCTCCTCTCAATGTTTTACAGCTTCATCCGACATCATGAATATCAAGATTTGGATCGGAAAATTAAGAATTAATTAAATTAAAAAAAATAAAAATAATAAAAATTAATTAACTCGAGGAGTTTAAGTATTGAGCTCTTTTTCTTGAGTGAGAGAATAATAGAGCCTGACGTAAAAGTGAGTTGGTGCAGTAATTGTCATGCCCTCAGATTATTTTGTGGCTCAGCTGTTCATTGCTATTGCCATACCCAACTTGTTTCCACATAACCTGATTTTTTTATGGACCTAATTAAAAAGGGACTATGACACTTAATTATATGTAGATATGACCTCACCTGCATCTTGCACAAACCTTGCACAAAGTGGGCATCAGTATACTGGCAACACAAAAAATTACACCAATACACAATGTAAATAAAAGTGCCAGTACTTGTATAACATAATAAGTCGACTTTTGCTCATGTTTGTCATTAATGAAAGCTGCGTCCCCCTTGAGGGCAGCCTCACAACCCTACACAGGGTGAATATAAGCAGATATTTGTGCGGGAGGGGAGCAGAGGGACACTGCCTAGGACATACTTCCAATGGACAAAAATGGAGTTTTTCAACTCTGCTCCTGGAAAAAACATTACATTTGTGCGGCCTCCTTATTTTTTAATAACTGGTTTAATTGACATTCCACATGTAAATTATTACTATGCTTTTCTTTTTGCTATTTATGTTGTGTCTGTTGTGGGCAATGTCTGTGTGATGGTAGTAATCATTTTGGACCATCGTCTAAGAACTCCCAAGAATGTTGCAGTGTTTAGTTTAGCCATAACTGACCTGTGTGGCAGTTCTGCTTTGGTGCCGAAAGTCATTGACACTTTCTTATTTAACCACAACCGTATTTCCTATAATGAGTGCTTAGCCTACATGTTTTTCTGTTTTGTCTTCCTCTCCATGCAGTCCCTTAACTTGGTTGTCCTGGGCATTGACAGGCTGTTGGCTATTGCTGATCCTCTACACTATCATGTCAGAGTTACCTTTAAATTCATGTTTTCTGTTATAGGTGTTTTCTGGATTGGTATTTGCACCATTGTGCTCATTAGCGTTGGTCTTCTCACTCGACTCTCATTTTGTGACTCGATTGTTATAAAAAGCTATTACTGTGATCACGGTCCAATTTACCGACTTGCCTGCAATGACATGACCCCAAGCCGTGCAATAGCAGGTCTATCTCCTATACTAATTCTTTGGATACCTTTAGTGTTTATTTTAGTAAGTTATTGTTATATTGCTTATGCCCTGTCAAGGATATCTGCTTCTCAAGAGCGAATCAAAGCTATAAAGACATGCTCAGGTCATCTTTCACTAGTTGCCATTTACTACTTGCC